GAATACATATATATATATATATATATATATATATATATATATATATATATATATATATATATAATAAAAGAGATGCATATAACATACATACACACGCATACTTACATACATATACATACATAAGCATAAACATAAACACACACACACACACACACACACACACACACACACACACACACACACACACACACACACACACACACACACACACACACATATATATATATATATATAGATAGATAGATATATGTTATGTGCATATAGTTATGCATGGGCACACACACCTGTGCAAATATGTATATATATATATATATATATATATATATATATATATATATATATATATATATATATATATATATATATATATATATATATATATATATATATATATATATATATATATATATATATATATATATATGTGTGTGTGTGTGTGTGTGTGTGTGTGTGTGTGTGTGTGTGTGTGTGTGTGTATGTGTATGTGTGTGTATGCACACACAATCACACACACACTCACAAACACAAACACACATATATCACACATGTAAGAATAAATAACTTATCCTCCCTAACTAGGATTCAAGCCCGTATCATTGCAGACAGGTAACTGCAATACAGACGCTCATACCAACTGAGCCACACGATCCACTAAAAGGAATGTGCAACTTAGCTCATCTAGCTTCCGTTACTCATGCATGAGTAGATAGGTAATGCCTATGGATGCTAAATAGCTCCTAGTTGCACACTCCATTCAGGGGATTGTGTGGTTCAGTTGGTCTTACAGCTACCTGCCTGCAATGACACAGGTTCGAGTCCCGGTTGGGGAGGGTAAGTTATTCATTCATCAAATTAATGCGGTAGTGCATTATTCTATCTTTTGTACATGTAAATGTGCATAAATATACATACACGCACACACACACACACACACACACACACACACACACACACACACACACACATATATATATATATATATATATATATATATATATATATATATATATATATATATATATATATATATATACAACATACATACATATATATATATATATATATATATATATATATATATATATATATATATATATATATATATATATATATATATATATATATCACACACACACACACACACAACACACACACACACACACACACACACACACACACACACACACACACACACACACACACACACACACACACACACACACACACACACACAACACCTCTCTCTCTCTCTCTCTCTCTCTCTCTCTCTCTCTCTCTCTCTCTCTCTCTCTCTCTCTCTCTTCTATATATATAATATATATAATATATATATATATATTTTTACTATTATATATTATATATACATATATATGCATATATTTGTATATATGTATATGAATATATACATATATTTTTTATATAAGTATACACAAACACACACACATATATGTATATATATAAATAAATATAATATATATATATATATATATATATATATATATATATATATATATATATATATATATATATATATATATATTATATATATATAATATATATATATATACTCTCTCAATATATATGCATTGATATGATAATGATGGTCTTGTGGGCAGGTGGAATGAAAGGGGCCTTGTGTGGAGGGTCTATTGGGGAAGGTGATGTGAGACCCCACGAGAGACCCCACGTGCTCCAGGGTGCCGAGGGCGGAGCGGTGACCAGCGAGACCGTCGTCTGTCTGCCGTCACCCTTCTGCATGTCCCTCTTGTTCTGCCGCGTTGTCGACAAGGCGTCTTCTTATGCAGTTATTCCTTACGAGGGCGTGTCGGAAGTGAAAGCAGAGTAAACACGAGCGTCTGCTGAAGGAGGAAGGTATCTGCCGGGGACCTAGGTGCGAAGTGGGAACCGTCCGGCCTTCGAACATATCGTTGACAGAACATATCGTTGACATCGCTCGGACATGCAAGAGGCTTGTCCTCGAGTCGTCTGCAACGTCTTGTGCACTGATGGCGTGCCTGGTGGCAAGCTCTGCTAGGCTTCTATGGATGATTGCTGGTGATCCGTGGTCCTTAAAGGTCGTCCCATGCCAGAGAAGCGGCGTGGTGGAGGTTTTGCAGCGAGGTGCAACATTCAATAGCGAGGAGGGTCACATCGCCTTCAGGGGCTGAATTATAAGTGCACCATGCCCGTAAAAGGGCTAAGGAGCGAGGATAATAAATTACTTGTCAGTAACCTTACTAAGATGCCAGAAGAATGAGTGTAATAAGAACATTTGTCACGAGAAGGGTGACGTGTCACATGAGGTGTTAATTACTTAGTTGTTAAGATTAGCGAGTAGAGTACCATCGTATTTGGTAGAGAGAATTATTAAAGAGCAAGAATTCCATACTTTTGGGCTAAATAGGCAAGTAATTATGTTTCGACCACATGTCGGCAGCTGGGCCTGAATTTAAGTAGCCGTGCTTGTCTCAGGCGCGACTTGTAAAGGCTGTATGAACATGTGAGTAAATAATCTATGCGCATCTCGGGCGCGACTGGTAAGTGCTATATGAATGTAAGTGCGAGTAAATAAAACGTATGGTGGGGTGCTACTTCATTTTACAGCCATGAGCCAGTTTAGAATTAACTTGAATGAATATCTTACAGTACAAGAGATGTATTTGACCGGTTTCGAATATATCTTCGTCATGTATTTCTGACAAAGATATATTCGAAACCGGTCAAATACGTCTCTTGTATTGTGAAGATATTCATTCTCATCCATACCTTTCTACATTTGTCAACATGAATACAGTTCAAGGTAGCATAGGCGTGAGTAGTCAGCCCGAAGTAGTGTGGTAGACATGATGTGGGTAGGCGTGGATTAGAAGAGCCCTTGGTAGCGATGGCTGGGCGCTAAGGGAGGCGAGGAGGTACTTCGAAAGGAGCTTATCTTGGTAACAGGAACATTCATCTCCACTGGCCACCAGATGTGATAAGGATGGGCATGAGAAGTTGGCCCACCGCCAGCCACCAGATGTGATAGGGTTGGTCTTATGAGCAGGTGGAATGAAAGGGGTCTTTGCTGGAGGGTTTATTGGGAAGGTGTAAGTGAAGCCCCACGAAAGACTTGTCCCCTGGGTGCTGAGGGTGGAGCGGTGACGAGCGAGACTGTCGTCTGTCTGCTGTCTGCCAATCTGCATCTCTTTTGTTCTACCTCTGCTGTTTGACGAGACGTGATTTTATGCAGCTATTCCTTGCTAGGGTGCATGCTTACTTAAGGCACAGAAGTGTCAGAAGTGAAAGCAGAGTTAATACCTGCGTCAGCTGAAGTAGGAAGGCAGCTGCCAGGTAAGGGGGTGCCAAGTGGGAACCATATATATTAATATGTATATATATATATATATATATATATATATATATATATATATATATATATATATATATATAGAGAGAGAGAGAGAGAGAGAGAGAGAGAGAGAGAGAGAGAGAGAGAGAGAGAGAGAGAGAGAGAGAGAGAGAGAGAGAGAGAGAGAGAGAGAGAGAGAGAGAGAGAGAGAGAGAGAGAGAGAGAGAGAGAGAGAGAGAGAGGAAGAGAGAGAGAGACAGAGAGAGAAAGAGAGAGAGAGAGGAGAGAGAGAGAGAGAGAGAGAGAGAGAGAGAGAGAGAGAGAGAGAGAGAGAGAGAGAGAGAGAGAGAGAGAGAGAGAGAGAGAGACGGACACTCAAAGAGGGACAGACACACACACACAAAGAGAGAGATCGAGAGATAAAAAAAGGAAGGAGGAGAGAGCAATGTTAGGGAGATCATACATACCCGCAAATGGGAATGTATAAGCATTCGTGAACATGCACGCACACACACACACAGACTCATAAGCTCAAAGGATACACTGATCCCTCTGTCTGTAGATCATAGCCTTCATGGGATCAGGTGTCATTCCGATAGACAGCTTTGATGATTAGGCAGAGCTGAGGTCCAAGTGCCGTGACTCTGGAAGTAGTTCTACTGCATTAACTGACAACCATTTCCTGGAACATTCCACGGATGCATAAGCCAAGGAGCAACATATGTATTCCACATCCTCTTTAACACTACCCATGCTGCTGGAACGGAGGCGCCAAGTATGCCACGGCACCAGAAAGTAACTGGAAAATTCAGGTGGTATGACTATGACATGGTCAGTTTACAGGCGAAAATGTTTTGTATTATTTATACTACAAGGGCAGTCAAAAGGTTAAGACAGGTAGCACTCCTTGTTGGGAAGTGATGAGCTAAAGCCTATTTCTCTACGTACATTTGTTGTAAATATTCTTTTATTTTCATTTGTTTCCATGTCTATTTCAATGACTTTTTAAAACATCATAATCATAACATTGCATTTGGCCTCGTGAGATAGCAAATATAGTTAGATCTTTGTAAAATGTTCTTTTTATAATTGTCAGAGGTGAAATAAATATCCACCCCTTTAACTTATGTTAACGAAGTACTTCCTATCATAAACAGCTAACTACACTACACTACACTAACTACACTAGGAATGTCAGACAAATTTTTGGTTTCAATAAGCCAAATGGAAGTGGTGCTGCTTATCTTATAAGTACCTTGTATTGATGTAAAAGTTTCTCTTTTCAAGGACGTATGCATTTGGGCGTCGAACGACGTCCGTATCACTGAAAAGGTTAAGCAGTTGTATTTGTTGTGTTTAAAGTCGAAATATCCTGACTTTGGCTGTAATTTGATCTTGTATTTTTGTCCCTAGTCTTCATGTGTCCTGTAGCCAGCTACCTGGGAGGGTTTGGATGCTGTTAGATATATACATTTTCATTCAACTAATATTGATAAATAGACAATGAACAATACATATACTTAATAGCAAACATACTAGGACACACACACACACAATATCGGCTTTCTAAACTGTTGCTCTGTAAAGCGTTGGTATATCCAGAAACATACTTTTTCATGAAACAACACTACGTTCCAATATTTTCTCGGATCCTTTACCGCCTTTCTTGCAGACGCGACAAGATGGGAGAGAGCGCGAAGGATCGCCGCCAGGACCCCGCCGGTGTCCTTTCCAGGAGAGGCGCCATCACGGCCAACTACGAGGATTTCCTGACCCAGTATTTGACCTGCGCCAGCGCCAACCCCTACCACCCGGTCACCAATCCCGAGGTAGGCTGCGCGGCCTTGTTGCGCTGGTTACAGGCAAGGCAGAACTAGTCTGCGAGCACTGCTCTTAGTATCACTCACTGAGTCCTCTGGTTCGAACGACTGGCCAACGCCTTATTCCTCAGGGCATCATCAACCTGGGCACGGCCGTGAACCGCCTGATGGAGGAGGAGCTGTCTGAGCGCCTGCGAAGAGGAGACGCGCTCTCCTATTCGCCGTCGTACCAGCACTACTACGACTTCGATGGGACGCGGGAGCTGAAGGGAGCGCTCATAGGATTCCTCGGGAGGCACTTCCTCCCCGCCAAGGACATCGGCGAGGACGAGGTCAGGACGGCGGGCACACACACACACACGCACACACACACACACCACACACACACACACACACACACACACACACACACACACACACACACACACACACACACACACACACACACACACACACACACACACACACACACACACACACACACACACACACACACATACACATGTACATACATTTGTGTGTGCGTTAGTGAGAAGAGAGAGAGAGAGAGAGTTGTGCATCATTGCACATCTAAGTGTGAGTACGTGCATTTTCATGTGTGTGATTGAATATTTATAAGGAAAATTGGTTTGATAATGATTAGCACATTAATATATATAATATATATATATATATATATATATATATATATATATATATATATATATATATATATATATATTTTTTTTTTTTTTTAGATTGTCGTGCTGAACGGAGTGACGTCATGCCTCGACGCCTTAAGCCACGCCCTTTGTGACCCTGGTGACGTCATAATCACACCCACTCCCGTGTACGCCCGCATGTTCACGGACGTCCACGATCGGGCGGGGGCGGCGGTGTTGCCCCTCGTGCTGCGTCAGGAGGTGAGCCCGGACATTCTGTTGCAGCAGAAGGAAAAGATTGCTCTGATGGCTGTTAGTGTTAAGGATGTTTTTATTATAAAGGAAGGGAATTTTGGTTTTCCTCTGGTGATTGCAACAATATCCGGTAAATTTTACGAATAATTATCTCGCTGTGTCTGCTTCCTTTTTGATCTGGTCAGTGTGTGCGATATTTTATTTGTGTATTTTCTTTGTAAAGGGTTCAATAATATTATTAGTAATACAATAGAAAAAGAAACTAAGAAAAAAAAAATGAAAATAAATATCTGCAATGAATACAGAGTTTAGCTCAGTTGCCAACTAGGATTTACATCAAGACGGGATGGGGCTACTTGTGTTCATGTACCTTGATGTGAACAATATTGGTGGAAATATATGACAGCCTCACGGAGATGTGAAGCGAAACCCTTTCTCCTTTCTGTGCTAATTATAAGCTTTAAAATGTTTCATATATTTAAAACAGACTTTATTGTACACTATGTACTCGACTCCATAGTGTCATTGATGTGATTTTTACAATAAACAGCCTTCTGATTTTGTTACAACTTGAACAAGTACCTGTCCAAAACGTAGACCTAAGTGCTGCTGAATGAAGTTGCTTCATGTTCTAGGTTGCTTCTATTCGCCGAAACAATGTTCTTGCCACTTTGAATGAAAATCTCCTCAGCATATTTTTGTCGCCTGATTCCCCGGTTTCACCTCTGCTCTGTTTCTTCTTAAATGCCATCATGCTGTCCTATTTCCGCAGGCCGATTCCTCCGATGAGAGCTTCGTACTTCGTGCGGAGGATCTGGAAGCGCGGGTCGAGGCCCTGCATCAGGAGGGGCGTCGCGTGAGGGCCTTCATGCTGGTGCATCCCAACAACCCTCTCGGCGACGTGTACTCGCCCCAGCTCCTCTCCGACCTTATGGACGTCTGCGCAAGGTACACGATATGGATTTCCCGACTCCTTTGCTCCCTCACTCTCTCCGTGTTCCCTCTCAGCCACCTCGTCTTCTTCACAGACACGAGATCCACTTCATCAGCGACGAAATCTACGCCCTTTCCATTTTCACTGACGAAGACGAGCCGTCCTCTCGCCCGCCCTTCCGCAGTGTCCTCAGCCTTCCTCACCCGGATCCAGATCGCACTCACGTCTTGTGGGGACTGAGTAAGGTGGGTGTAACTTCGGTTGACTACTTACTGATAATGTACTCATGTATTCTGCTGGTTTTCTGGTGTCTGTTGTCGAAGCTGGCGTTTCCTAAAGCTTGTTGTTCAATCGTCGGGGAAAGCTGGGTTCCTTGTTCAGCGGATGAAGTGGATATTAATCTTTTTCTAAGGAATGGTTGCTCGTGAGGCTATTTAAAAAATACATATAAGGAAATCGAAAACAATACCAAAGACTTTAAATTAGCCCATGATAAACTAATAGGGCACTACCGAAAATACTTTTAGAAATAAATCATACATTTTATGAGACAGAGGAATAGTCTTTCTGCAAATGTATACTTTTGCTCATTCATTCCATGGTAAAACACACACACAAACATGCACACACACACATATATTCCTGATATCGTTAGAGCTTACTGCATATATACTGTAATATACAACCAGTGGCAAATGCAAGATTCTAATTTCATTATGCAGAATAGTCAGCCGGCTCTCCCACTCATCATCAAACTATTTGTTTATATGAAGAAAGATGATTTCTTTATTTGATAGTTTGTCAAACATTGTACATATGTTAGTGTGTATAATTTCTGTACACACACACACACACACACACACATATATATATATATATATATATATATATATATATGTGTGTGTGTGTGTGTGTGTGTGTGTGTGTGTGTGTGTGTGTGTGTGTGTACACACTTTTCTAAGCCGATAGAAAATTAGATATAAACGCTATTCCCTATTTCTTTGCTTTTTCTTCTTCCGGTGTCAGTCTTTTCTGTCATACTATTTCTTCTCTTATTCGTTCTTTTCCCTAAAGGATTTCGGGCTCGCTGGCCTCCGTGTGGGCGTGGTGGTCAGTCGCTGCGCCGAGCTCATGACCTGCCTGCGCGCCATCGCCATCTACAAGTGCACGCCCCAACTCGTGCACCATGCGGCGGCGGCGCTGCTCTCCGACACAGGTAGAGGTATATATATATATATATATATATATATTATATATATATATATATATATATATATATATATATATATATATATGTATATATATATATATATAATATATATATATATATTATATATATATATATAATAATAGATATAGATATTATATTGATAATCTATAGATAGATATGTACACACATGTTAATATCTATATATATGAATATTAACACACACATGCATGTATGTATCTATATTATATATATATATATATATATATATATATATATATATATATATATATATATATATATATATATATAATACATACATACATATGAATATGAATACACACCTCTCTCTCTCTCTCCACACACTGTAATATCCCTACAATAAACTGCAGGCTGTTTACTCTGAGTCTGCTTCTCCAAACGGCAGATCCTGCCTCACGCGAGACGGCACTCAGTCTGCATCACTCACGCATTCGGCCACGTCACACACACACACACACACACACACACACACACACACACACACACACACACACACACACACACACACACACACACACACACACACACACACACACACACACACACACACACACACACTGTGTAGAGTGCAGTGCATCGTATCAGAGCAGTACAGCCTTTATGTGATCTTAAATGCGGCGAGGATTAGACCAGTTTCGTTAAGTATGTAAGCTGTTAGAAAGGATAAATAGGAAACAAAAAGTAAAAAAAAAAAAAAAAAAAAAAAAAAAAAAAAAAAAAAAAAAAAAATACATGGAATGACATCGAATAAGCAATTTGGTGATAATGTGTCTCATAGAGGATTATCATAGACAAAATGGACATCGTAATTAGAGGGAAGCACTCTACATGACGAGTTATCAGCGGAGTGCCCCAAGGATCAGTCTTGGCGCCGATTATGTCTACTATTTTCGTCAATGATTTAGGATCAAACATAAGCTCAATTTTTTTTTTTAATATATAAATAAATGAATAAATAAATGGACAGAATAAAGAAAATGTCTCACACCAATGACTCTAAAATGACACCGAAATTTACTTATGTGGAGTTGTACTTGGAAAGTGGAATTAATCACCAACAAATGCCGCGTAGTCAGGTTCGGAAACAGTAGTATGTGGACAGAGATATGGTAAAGATCGTTGCAACCATCATAATACCTAGTCAAGAGTACGGTTCAGTGGTATGGAGTCCACACTTAAAAAAGATATAGACAAAATGGAAAGAATAATAATAAAAAAAGGGCTACAAGATGGGTACCTACGCTACGAAGATAGACTACAGAAATTAGGACTTACTACCTTGAAAGAAAGAAAGAAAAGGGGGGACTTGATTATGCTGTTCAACTATGTTACAGGAAGAGTGAAGTTAAACAAAGATGGCTTTATAGTTTTGAAGTTGAAAATAAGAAGAGGCTATAAAGATGTTCAAAAATTTGTTTCCTAAACGGAACTATTGAAAGATGGAACAGTCTTCTTTTTAAAAAATTGTGTCCAAAATGTGCATTAGTTTAAAAATTCATACGATAATTTTAATATATCAGACGGGACCATTTGAGCTTAGCTCTTCTCCCGTACTGAACAACTAGATGAGAACACACACACACACACACGCACAGAACGAATTAAGTCCCATTTCATGCCACATATTGAAGCCATTTAGTGCCCCGGTTCAGCTTCCATCCCCATTCCCTCCCTCCGGCCTTCCTCTCTCCTCAGCCTGGTGCGACGACTCTACCTCCGACTGAACAGCGAGAGACTCGGCCGTACTTACAGGCACGCCCGTGGGCGCCTGGAGGCGATGGGCGCCCGTGTGAGGGAGGCACGGGCGGCCCTCTTTGTCTGGTTTTCCATCCGGGACTTCATGGAGACCGACAGCGCCGAGGAGGAAATGGGTGAGTCCTTTCTCCTGTTCTTAAAATCTATTTTGAGTATGAAGTAAACAGGAATCGAGGCCGTTTATTTTTACTAGTGGCTGCATCTCTCTCTCTCTCTTTCAATCTCTCCCCCTCTCTCATCTACATTTATCTCTCTTTCTCGCTCACTCTCTCTCCGCTTCTCCACTCTGCAGAGATCCACGCCCAGCTGATGCGCGCGGGCGTGTACGTGGTGCCCGGGAGCAAGCTGTACGGCTCCGACCCGGGTTGGATCCGCCTCATCTTCAGCGTGAGGGAAGAGGAGCTCGACGAAGGTGGGCGACGGGAAAGCTTTTCTTGCACTTATGACGATGATTGACGTACGGATGGTCAAAACAGCAGATTACTGAGCAAATGAATTTTCAAATTGAACTGACCCTCTTCGAAATCCAACAGGTCTTAGGAGAATTGAGTCTGTCCTCAAGAGCAGGAGAAAGGAGACAGCATGATTGGAAGAACACACACCTGAAGTCTTACTTTGGCGTCTGGCTGTTACTATACTTTCACTGTTACGTAGCTATCTGGTAGCGAAAATCATCCTGAATGTTTGTAGGTTTTCCTCTTAGGAAACATTAAATGGTGCAATTCCTAAATGTTTATTTATCCTAATGGGTGCTTATGTTTCTACTCCTTTAATAACTGAAGTCACTGCCAGTGGGATCCACGCCCATCACCCCTGCATCCCCCCCCTCTCCCTCCCTCTCTCTCTCTCTCTCTCTCTGTCTCTCTCTCTCTCTCTCACGCTCACTACCTGTCGGTCTATCATTCTTTCAATCTGACTGTCTCTTTCTTGTGATCAGGGCTGG